AGCATGACAGAGTGATCTCCAGCCTTGTCCTCGTCAACACTCTCACCCGTGTTAACGAGAGAATCACTGACATGATGTCAGCTGGTCCTTTTGTGGCAGGGCTGAAATACAGTGGAAATGTTTTTGGGGGATTAAGTTAATTTTCATGGCAAAGAGGGACTTTGCAATTCATTGCAATTCATCTGATCCCTCTTCATGACATTCTGGAGTATATGCAAATTGCCATCATCAAAACTGAGGCAGCAGACTTAGTGAAAATTAGTATCTGTGTCATTCTCAAAACTTTTGACCACGACTGTATGTCTACTGTTCAAAAATTAACACCATGAGTCTCCTAGTCTCAACTATAGAGTCAGTCTGTCAGGAGACTTGTGACTACGCTGTGATCTGCGCAGTATTCCTGGTGTCCCACTAGGGTCTGAGGGCACAGGAGTGGGTCAGGTGTTTGTAAGAGACAGTCCATCACCCTCTCCTGGAGCCACTGAATGCCCCTGTTCCTCCGAGACTGTTCCCTGTGGTGTTTCAACTTCTGCACTACGACCCACAGCTGTTTTGCCGGAATACATTTAGACGCAGCCCTTCATCAGAGAGTCTCTTTAACGCCTGGTCCAGATTGCGGAGGTGCTCCTCCTCCGTCTCCCCTGTAACCAGGATGTCGTCCAGGTACATTGCTACATGAGGGATCCCCTGCAACAGATTGTCCATTGTCCTCTGGAAAATGGCCAGACTGGACGCCAACCTGAAAACCAAGCGGTTGTATTTGAACAAGCCTTTGTGAGTATTGACTGTAACATACTCTTTTGAATCCTCGTCCAGGAGGAGCTGTTGGTAGGCGTGGCTCATGTCCAGCTTTGAAAATGTTGTTGATGGTGAGTTTGTAGCCCCCGCATATACGCACCGTGCCGTCACTCTTCAGAACGGGAATTATTGGAGCTGCCCAGCAAGAGAACTGAATGGGCGTAATGATGTTTGTTTCTTGCATCCGCTCCAACTCATCCTCCACTTTCTTTTTCATGGCATATGGCACTGTCCTGGGCTTGAAAAAACAAGGCTCTGCTTGAGGATCCACAAACAGCTTAACTGCAGTACACTGCAGCGTGCCCAATTCATCTCTGAAAACCTTCAGGGTACTTTTGAATGACATCCACAGTCACTTGTGTGTGTTTTATCTCACCCCAGTTCAGTTGTATTTTGTTGAGTCAGTCACGCCCTAGTAAACTAGGCCCATTCCCTTTCACCACCAGGAGCCGTGCTCTCGCTTCCTGGCTTCCTGGCTGAAATGTCCACCTCTAGAGCCCCCAGCAATGGTATGGTCTCTCCAGTGTACGTACGCAGTCTGATCCCTGCCGATGTGATGGCAGGAGCCTGTTTTGAGTCCCAGGTCTTTCTGTAGGTCTCCTCACTGATGACAGATGCAGAGGCCCCTGTTTCAACCTCCATCCTCAACTCTTTTCCATCTACCTCCACTGTAGCATATAATGGCTCCTCGCACTGCTCACTCACATTAAAAATGTTGTAGGAACAATCCTCTTCCTCTTCTTCTGTGCTCTCTAGGTGGTGCGCTGCTGGCTGCGGCTTCTTTGATTTGAACTTGCCCCTCCGAGTCTGCCCACCCTCTGGCTTGCTCTAAGCAACCCTGCACTTTTAGGCTAAATGCCCCTTTTTGTTGCAATTGTGACAGACGTTGTCCTTGAACTTACAGTTGTTTGCATAATGTGTTCCCCCACATCTAAAACATTCCACTGCTTTTCCCTTTTTTCCTGCTGCCTCTTTTGTCACCTGATGCACTGCACAACTTCCACTGTTGGCCTTTTGAATATCTATAGCATTGCTAGCTGCCATCTCCATCCCTTGAGATATGTCCGATGCTCTCTTCAAAGTCAGTGTGGCTTCCCCCAGCAAACAGCGCTGTATGCTGTCCTCATTAATGCCACAGACTAATCTGTCACGGAGCATGTCCGCTAACACAGTCCCAAACTCACAATGTTCAGAGAGTTGATGAACAGACTGACCTGTTTTCCGAAAATGGCAATTAAACTTGAACCTCTGGACGATCACTGAATGCTTTGGATTGTGGTGAGTCTGAAGGAGAGCAACTAGATCAACAAAAGGAACTTGTCCCGTCCTCTGTGGTGTAGCTGTCCTCCCTGGTGTAGCCAAATTTCTCATTAGAAGACAAGTCTGTGAAAAAGGCTAAGTGGATGCGGAGGGACGTGAAGATAAGAGATGGGATAAAAATCAGGGGTGTACGAGAAATAGTAGAAAGCACATTATTAACAAGGGGAAAGGAGACAGAATGAAAGAAAAGGAAGGAGGCGAAGAGGAAACGCGGAAAGGAGGATAGAGGGAGAATAGGAAGGAGACGGATGATTTTTAGTTTCAAGCCGCTTAGAAGGGGAAAGTGCTGCTCTTGATATAGGATATTCTAATAGGGATGGGAAAGCACTTCATGATAGGAAACAAAATCTAAGGGTGAACAATAAACCCCCAGATGTAATGTGCAAGCTGCAAAGAGACAAATGGATAGAATTGTGTTTGTAAGAAAGGAAAGAGGAAAGACAATGAACTATTGAAGGTGGGACTAGGGGGAGGAAGGAATAGTAGAAGAAGACGTGACGGAGGAAATTAGAAGAAAGCGGGGTGCTGTAATGAAAATAAGGAGGGGAATGAAATTTTTTAGCCCCACACACACTCAAGAGAATAGAGCGCTGTTTAGTCTCCTCTGTAATTCCATTTGCCAAGAAAAAGTGTCCCACCCTTTCCACATATTCTGTCCAGTTCTTGTTCTCTTCCAAAAACGAATTGATAGTCCCAAACATTGCCATTGTAACTGTCACGATCGTCGGTAAGAGAGGAGGACCAAGGCGCAGCGTTGAATGCGAACATATTTATTATAGTGATACACGATCAAAACAACAACAAACGATAACGTGACAGTCAACGGTCTAACACAAACCAACTAGAACAAGATCCCACAACTATTGTGGGAAAACAGCCTGTTTAAATGTGGTTCCCAATCAGAGACAACCAGCCACAGCTGACACTCGTTGCCTCTGATTGAGAACCACACTGGCAACATAGAAAAGAAACAACTAGACCTACAACACAGACATCTACACACCCTGGCTCAACATAACAGTGTCCCCAGAGCCAGGGCGTGACAGTACCCCCCCCCTAAAGGCGCGGACTCCGACCGCGCCAACCAAATACCACAGGGGAGGGACCGGGTGGGCACTCCGCCTAGGCGGTGGATCCGGCTCCGGACCTGATCCCCGCTCCCTCTCCAACCCCCCAAAGTACCCCTGGTCCGGTCTGGCCCCGCTGGCCGGAGCTGGACTGCACATTGGTGGAGCGGATTGCTCTAGCTCCGGCGTGAAGCATCTGACCGGTGCCGGACCAGGCACCGGTGGAACAGGCACGGGACGTGCCGGACTGACGACGCACACCACTGGCTTGGTGTGGGGAACAGGCACGGGCCGTGCCGGGCTGACGACGCACACCACTGGCTTGGTGTGGGGAACAGGCACGGGCCGTGCCGGGCTGACGACGCACACCACTGGCTTGGTGTGGGGAGCAGGAGCGGGCCGGACCGGGCTGGCGATGCGCATCACTGGCTTGGTGTGGGGAACAGGCACGGGCCGTGCCGGGCTGACGACGCACACCACTGGCTTAGTGTGGGGAGCAGGAGCGGGCCGGACCGGGCTGGCGATGCGCACCATTGGCTTGGTGCAGGGTGCAGGAGCAGGCCGGGCCGGGCTTACTTTAAAAAAAATGAAAAATAACTATTTTAAACAACATCAACTGTGAACTTATTTGGGCGTGTGTGTGTTAAAGAGACAGACAGGGAGGGACAAAGAGAGAGAGAGGCTACATTACTTGTACTGAAACTGTTCTCTTCTCTCTTTCAATGCAGCAAAGCGGTCAATGACTTTCTCATTGAAATCAGGCATGCTGAGGACTAGTTCCCTCTCCATGGAAAGCATGGCCAGTGCATTCAGACGTTCCTGGCCCATTGAATTTCGCAGGAATGTCTTAACTCGTGTCAAAGTTGAGAAACATCTCTCAGCTTCAGCTGTTGTCATGGGAGTAGTTATGAGGATGTTCAACAGAGTCACAGTCTCAGAGAACGTCTCCTGGAGGTTGTAGCTCATGAGAACCTGGTACAGTGCCAGTGCACCACAGTTTGACTTTCTCGTCGTCGGCAAAAAGACCGTTCAGTCTCTCCAAAAGCACACTGGCGATTGAGACTGAGGTTGATTCCGAGATGGGAAGGAACTCAAAAAAGCGCTCCTGCACTTTGTGGTTGCTATCTATGTACCTCAGCACAAGCACCAGCTGTGTCTGTGTAGAAACGTCCGTGGTCTCGTCAGCTTGGATAGCTACGAAGTTCGCCGACTTCACCTCCTCCACAATATGTTCCCTCATGACCGCTAGCATACACTCCAGTAGCTCGTTTTGAATGGTCTTTGATGTGAACTTCTTTCAAAGAGACAATCGAGTTGCACTGAAGGCTAGCCATCTTGATAGTAGTACGTGAATTGATTGACGCTGCTACCCGCTCTTTTCTTAGTTACGTTCATGGTTATGTTACGTATGACGAAAGCGCGTAAGTGCAAGCCCTCAGAAACCCATAGAGATTGTATTGAAAGCTCTGATATTTGAAAAAAAAAGATTTTACATGAGAGTCTATGAGATACTTCTGGGGCGATTTTCAACCTGACTGAAATCGCCCCAAAAGGGGCGGGGCCATTTGAAGCACGACTTTAGCCTGATTGGACATTTAGTGGCAGATCAGACGTCTAGATTAGAACACTGATAACTACTGTTGCCGTGATATAATTGATTAGAAAAAAAATCCCTTCCTTTTCCCGTTTGGCAGTGCGTCGCCCATATCGCCCTAATGAACACACCGCCCCTGTCTGCACTATAACAATGTTTGTTTCTAAAGTTCTAGATATGTTAGCCTTGATCCCATCATGGTTTTTCCTCGTCTTTCAGAGCTCCAGAAGTTGCTGGATGAGAAGATCAAAGAACTGGCAAAGAAAACACAGGAACTGGAGGATAATGCTCCTCAACCAGAGAATGGTGAGTTTTATTTAGCCTTTGCCATTATAGAGTCTGTTTTCAGTTGAACAGACAGCTTTTACCATTTAGGCCCAGCCTGCTCAGTATTTCTCTGTATATGATATTCCTCAAACTGTTTAGTTTTTTTTTTCAGTTCTAAGGATCATTGCAATACAGAATGAGATCTTGAACCTGCAGAAAGGATTTACCAACGGGACAAACTTTGACCAGATTGCTGGTGAGTAGCAGGCGTTCTGAAGAACATAGGAGTCACTGTGTGTTCAGCACGTAAGACCAATACAAATAGTTATCATGTTTCCTCAAAGGGATAGTCCTTCACTGGTAGACATATAGGATGGTGTGATGGAAATACACTGGATTTTGCCCATTCATGGAGTTTTACAATCCCATTATGCTTGTAACATTCAAGCTCTTCAATTATTCTTGTCCACAGCGCTTGAGAATGAACTGGATGAATTGATTGCCACAATCGAGGAGAAGAACAATGGAAACTGTAAACAAAGTGAGTTTGAAAAGCCTAATCATTTCTGGGTTGGCTGCTATCGTGATTTGGATATTCTACTTTACTTCAAATGTTGAATGTTGTGACATCCTGCATCCCCCTGCTCATTTAGTTTTGCAGATCATTGCACTCCAAAATCAAGTCACAAGATTACAGAGGCAAGAATTAGAGTTCATTCAGACATCTGAGGGCAAGATTGCTGGTGAGTGCTATTGTAATTTTTCTTTATCCTCAGTAATAGTCTTAAAGTCACGCTGGAGAGTTTATTATCCTTATATTCACCACTAAGAGCTTTTTGTAGGCATACCGAAAGAGGAGAACATTTGAAATAATGTTTGTGTCTCATAGAGCTAGAGAATCAACTACAGGAGACGAGAGACCAGCTGAATGAAAAGAAAGAGGAGCTGAAAGAAACAGGCAGTAGAATTCCACAACTCAGTAAGTTGTCAAGCATGTTTCCAGGAGTTTATCTAGAATCTAGAAGTCAATAATTTCTACATTTTTTGGACACTGACATCTATTTCTGAATGATTCATCCAGAGTGGCGTGCTTTTCTTTTTTAGCTGCAGAGATCATGGGACTTCGTAACAAAGTGACAGAGTTAGAGAGAACATTATCAGAGCTCAAACAGACAAGTGCTGACAAGATCGAAGGTAAATTGTGCTTCATTGAAATACTATTGAAAGTCTTGTTGCGTTGATGCAAATAAAACATTTTGTTTAAAGTGGACGCTATTTTAACACAGGGTAGATTATAATTGGTAAGATACAGTGCAGTCGGAAAGTATTCAGACACCTATGAGACTCAAAATTGACCTCAGGTGCATCCTGTTTCCATTGATCATCCTTGAGATGTTTCTACAACTTGATTGGAGTCCACCTGTGGTAAAGTCAATTGATTGGACATGATTTGGAAAGGCACACACCTGTCTACACTACCGGTCAAAAGTTTTAGAACAGCTACTCATTCAAGGGTTTTTCTTTATTTGTACTATTTTCTACATTCTAGAATAATAGTGAAGACATCAAAACTATGAAATAACAGATATGGAATCATGTAGTAACCAAAAAAGTATATTTTATATTTGAGATTCTTCAAATAGCCACTCTTTGCCTTGATGACAGCTTTGCACACTATTGGCATTCTCTTAACCAGCTTCATGAGGTAGTCACCTGGAATGCATTTCAATTAACAGGTGTGCCTTCTTAAAAGTTAATTTGTGGAATTTATTTCCTTCTTAATGCATTTGAGCCAATCAGTTGTGTTGTGACAAGGTAGCCCTATTTGGTAAAAGACCAAGTCCATATTATGCCAAGAACAGCTCAAATAAGCAAAGACAAATAACAGTCCATCATTACTTTAAGACATGAAGGTCAGTCAATACCGAACATTTCAAGAACTTTGAAAATGTCTTTAAGTGCAGTCGCAAATGCCATCAAGCGCTATGATGAAACTGGCTCTCATGAGGACCGCCACAGGAAAGGAAGACCCAGAGTTACCTCTGCTGCAGAGGATAAGTTCATTAGAGTTACCAGCCTCAGAAATTGCAGCCCAAATAAATGCTTCACACAGTTCAAGTAACAGACACATCTCAACATCAACTGTTCAGAGGAGACTGTGTGAATCATGCCTTTATGGTTGAATTGCTGCAAAGAAACCACTACTAAAGGACACCAATAAGAAGAAGAGACTTGCTTGGGCCAAGAAACACGAGCAATGGACATTAGACCGGTGGAAATTTGTCCTTTGGTCTGGAGTCCAAATTTGAGATTTTTGGTTCCAACCGCATGTGTATTTCCCACCGTAAAGCATGGAAGAGGAGGTGTTATTGTGTGGGGTGCTTAGCTGGTGTGGGGGTGCTTTGCTGGGGACACTGTCTGTGATTTATTTAGAATTCAAGGCACACTTAACCAGCATAGCTACCACAGCATTCTGCAGCGATACGCCATCCCATCTGGTTTGGGCTATAATTTGTTTTTCATCAAGACAATGACCCAACACTCCTCCAGCCTGTGTAAGAGCTATTTTACCAAGAAGGAGAGTGATGGAGTGCTGCATCAGATGACCCGGCCTCCACAATCCCCCGACCTCAACCAAATTGAGATGGTTTGTGATGAGTCGGATCGGAGATTGAAGGAAAAGCAGCCAACCAGTGCTCATCATATGTGGGAACTCCTTCAAGACTGTTGGAAATGCATTCCAGGTGAAGTTGGTTGAGAGAATGCCGAGAGTTTGCAAAGCTGTCATCAAGGCAAAGGGTGGCTATTTGAAGAATCTCAAATATAAAATATATTAAGATTTGTTTAACACTGTTTTGGGTACTACATTATTCCACATGTGTTATTTCACAGTTTTGATGTATTCACTATTATTCTACAATGTAGAAAATAGCAAAAATAAAGAAAATCCCTTGAATGAGTAGGTGTTCTAAACATTTTGACCGGTAGTGTATATAAGGACCAACAGTTGACGGTGCATGTCAGAGCGAAAACCAAGCCTTCATGTCGAAGTAATTGTCCGTAGAGTTCCGAGACAGGATTGTGTCGAGGAACAGATCAGGGGAAGGGTACAAAAACATTTCTGCAGCATTTAAGGTCCCCAAGAACACAGTGGCCACCATCATTCTTAAATGGAAGAAGTTTGGAACCACAAAGACTCTTCCAAGAGCTGGCCGCCGGACCAAATTGAGCAATCGGGGGAGAAGGGCCTTGGTCAGGGAGGTGACCAAGAACCCATAGTCACTCTGTAAGAGCTCCAGAGTTCCTTTGTGGAGATGGGCGAACCTTCCAGAAGGACAACCATCTCTATAGCACTCCACCAATCACGCCTTTAAGGTAGAGTGGCCAGACGGAAGCCACTCCTCAGTAAAAGTCACAACACAGCCCACTTGGAGTTTGCCAATAGGCACCTAAAGGACTCTCAGACAATGAGAAACAAGATTCTCTGGACTGATGAAACCAAGATTGACCTATTTGGCCTGAATGCCAAGTGCCATCTCTGGAGGAAACCAGGTACCGCTCATCACCTGGCCGAAACCATCCCTACGGAAAAAGCATGGTGGTGGCATTATCATGCTGTGGGGATGTTTCTAAGCGGCAGGGACTGGGAGACTAGTCAGGATCGAGGGAAAGATGAACAGATCAAAGTACAGAGAGATCCTTGATGAAAACCTGCTCCACAGCGCTCAGGACCTCAGACTGGAGCAAAGGTTTACCTTCCAACAGGACAACAACCCTAAGCACACAGCCAAGACAACGCAGGAGTGGCTTCGGGACAAGTCCCTGAATGTCCTTGAGTGGCCCAGCCAGAGCCCGGACTTAAACCCGATCTAACATCTCTGGAGAGACCTGAAAATAGCTGTGCAGCGACGCTCCGCATCCAACCTGAAAGAGCTTGAGAGGATCTGCAGAGAAGAAAAAGAGAAACTCCCCAAATACAGGTGTGCCAAGCTTGTAGCGTCATACCCAAGAAGACTCGAGGCTGTAATCGCTGCCGAAGGTGCTTCAACAAAGTACTGAGTAAAAGGTCTGAATACTTATGTAAATGTAATATTTCAGTTTTAAAAATATATATTTGCAAACATTTCTAAAAACCTGTTTTTGCTTTGTCATTATGGGGTATTGTGTGTAGAGTTTTTGAATAAGGCTGTAACGTCACAAAATGTGTAAAAGGTGAAGGGGTCTTTCCTCCTCAGAGCTACAGAGTCTACTGAAGCAGAAGAGCAAGCAGCTTGAAGACAACACTACACAACTGAGGGCTGTGGATGCCAAAAATGCACAACAGAGTATGTTAACAAGAGTAGTTATTAGAAGTCATTAAACATTTATAATCTTCTAAAAAGTCGAATACCATTATATGATGTTAGTGTTGAATTACACAGTGCCTTTTTGTTCTGTTCTTTCAGTTCTGAAGATCATTGAACTCCAGAAACAAATGAATGAGATACGGATTGAAGCTTCAAAAGATGAAACTGCAGCAGAAATCTCTGGTTTGTCTATTTTGTCTCATGTTCCACTTATGTATAATCATCAAAATATCACAGGTTGAATAGTGTTAAAAATGGGTTTTGAGAAATTGTTATGTATAGTCATCATGATGTAACGAATATATGTAGCAATATGCTAACATTAGTGCTTGAATTACAGCGCTTCAGGAACAACTACAGGCCAGAGAGGAAGAGAGCGCCAGATGTCAGGCCCAGAACAAAGGTAAGCCAAGATCAGGTTCTTCTGATATTATATACAGCCCTCCTGTAGCTCAGTTGGTAGAGCATGGCGCTTGCAACGCCAGGGTTGTGGGTTCAATTCCCACGGGGGTCCAGTATGAAAAATGTATGCACTCACTAACTGTAAGTCGCTCTGGATAAGAGTGTCTGCTAAATGACTAAAATGTAAAAATGTAATATTAGTCTGGTTCACCAGTTTGTGTAACTAGACGCTTGGTGAGCATAGCTGCTTGAATCACAACTACAGGTAAAGAAACAGAAGCACACATCTCATCAGTCTAATATTTCTTTCTCAAACCAGACCTGGAGAAGAGGCTGGGCGATAAGGATGCACATATCCAGGACAGATATGACAGTGAGCTTCACCCCTCTCTACCTTTTGCTGATGACACTGAGTGATCGAAATAATAGAACCCTATTCAATAGAACCTAGTTAAAAGCTGATTTGTATTGGTCTCTCACAGGTCTGCAAGATAAGCTTGGTGCTGCAATGAATAAACTGGACAATGTAACTGGATACAACGACAAACTCGGTGAGTGGATAAATGTACATCAGTGCTCACAGATGAATGAGTTGAGTAGTCTTGTTTATTTTTCTGATTCAGAAAACTACTCCGCTCATTTCAATGTGTTCTGTCAGTTCTTGAGGTATGGACGCTGACTAATGAGGTAGATGATCTAAAGAAGAGAACTGTGACTTCCGCAGCTAAGATCAATGGTGAGTATCCCTGTTGCCGCTCATTATTCATAGCAAATCATGTTTGTGGTAACATTACAAGTATTATCCACATGCGTTTCAATGTTTTTTGCCTTTACTTGTAAACTACAAAATAAAGGGGTACAGCCCTGTACAAACGGTAGAAAACAGGAGAGCGAAAAACCCAACTCAACATTAGGTAGTGTCCCTTTGAATACTGAGCCAACTCTTGGTGATGACATCACAGGAGGGTAAAGGTCACAGTCAACACCAATGTCCATAATAACCATGCTCCCATGAATAGTAATAATACTATACTGCAGTTAAGTCCACCACCTATTCAGTAAGAATTATTCATATACAGTTGAAGTTGGAAGTTTACATACACCTTAGCCAAATACATTTAAACTCAGTTTTTCACAATTCCTGACATTTAATCCTAGTAAAAATTCCCTGTCTTAAGTCAGTTAGGATCACCACTTTATTTTACGAATGTGAAATGTCAGAATAATAGTAGAGAGTGACTTATTTCAGCTTTTATTTATTTCATCACATTCCCAGTGGGTCAGAAGTTTACATACACTCAATTAGTATTTGGTAGCATTGCCTTTAAATTGTTTAACTTGGGTCAAACGTTTCGGGTAGCCTTCCACAAGCTTCCCACAATAAGTTGGGTGAATTTTGGCACATTCCTCCTGACAGAGCTGGTGTAACTGAGTCAGGTTTGTAGGCCTCCTTGCTCGCACACGCTTTTTCAGTTCTGCCCACAAATTTTGTATAGGATTGAGGTCAGGGCTTTGTGATGGCCACTCCAATACCTTGACTTTGTTGTCCTTAAGCCATTTTGCCACAACTTTGAAAGTATGCTTGGGGTCATTGTCAATTTTTAAGACCTATTTGCGACCAAGCTTTAACTTCCTGACTGATGTCTTGACATGTTGCTTCAATATATCCACATCATTTTCCTTCCTCATGATGCCATCTATTTTGTGAAGTGCACCAGTCCCTCCTGCAGCAAAGCACCCCCACAGCATGATGCTGCCACCCCCGTGCTTCACAGTTGGGATGGTGTTCTTCGGCTTGCAAGCAGCCCCCTTTCTCCTCCAAACATAACGATGGTCATTATGGCCAAACAGTTCTATTTTTGTTTCATCAGACCAGAGGACATTTCTCCAGAAAGTACGATCTTTGTCCCCATGTGCAGTTGTAAGCCATAGTCTGGCTTTTTTATGGCGGTTTTGGAGCAGTGGCTTCTTCCTTGCTGTGCGGCCTTTCAGGTTATGTCAATATAGGACTCATTTTACTGTGGATATAGATACTTTAGTACCTGTTTCCTCCAGCATCTTCACAAGGTCCTTTGCTGTTGTTCTGGGATTGATTTGCAAATTTTGCACCAAATTACGTTCATCTCTAGGAGACAGAACGTGTCTCCTTCCTGAGCGGTATGACGGCTGCGTGGTCCCATGGTGTTTATACTTGCGTACTATTGTTTGTACAGATGAACGTGGCACGGTACCTTCAGGCGTTTGGAAATTGCTCCCAAGGATGAACCAGACTTGTGGAGGTCTACCATTTTTTTCTGAGGTCTTGTCTGATTTCTTTTGATTTTCCCATGATGTCAAGCAAAGAGGCACAGAGTTTGAAGGTAGGCCTTGAAATACATCCACAGGTACACCTCCAATTGACTCAAATGATGTCAATTGGCCTATCAGAAGCTTCTAAAGCCATGACATCATTTTCTGGAATTTTCCAAGCTGTTTAAAGGCACAGTCAACTTAGTGTATGTAAACTTCTGACCCACTGGAGTTGTGATACAGTGAATTACAAGTGAAATAATCTGTCTGTAAACAATTGTTGGAAAAATTACTTGTGTCATGCACAAATTAGATGTCCTAACCGGCTTGCCAAAACTATAGTTTGTTAACAAGACATTTGTGGAGTGGTTGAAAAACGAGTTTTAATGACTCCAACCTAAGTGTATATAAACTTCCGACTTCAACTGTAGTTCCACACTATAACACTTCTCCCCCCTTCATTTCAATCCCCCTGTGAAGAAAATACATTAAGTATACAAGACAACAACTAAACAACAACAGTGTTTCCTCTTCTTTTTTTCACAATACTTTAGAACTTGTACTAGTGTTACTGCAACTGTAAACAAACAAAGACCACAGATATTTTTCTTTCAACTACAGTCGTGGTCAAAAGTTTTGAGAATGACACAAGTATTGGTCTTCACAAAGTTCGCTGCTTCAGTGTTATGAGATATTTTTGTCAGATGTTACTATGGTATACTGATGTATAATTTCAAGCATTCCATAAGTATCAAATGCTTTTATTTACAATTACATTAAGTTTATGCAAAGAGTCAATATTTGCAGTGTTGACCCTTCTTTTTCAAGACCTCTGCAATCCGCCCTGGCATGCTGTCAATTAACTTCTGGGCCACATCCTGACTGATGGCAGCCCATTCTTGCATAATCAATGCTTGGAGTTTGTCAGAATTTGTGGGTTTTTGTTTGTCCACCCGCCTCTTGAGGATCGACCACAAGTTCTCAATGGGATTAAGGTCTGGGGAGTTTCCTGGCCATGGACCCAAAATGTTGATGTTTTGTTCCCTGAGCCACTTAGTTATCACTTTTGTCTTATGGCAAGGTGCTCCATCATGCTGGAAAAGGCATTGGTCGTCACCAAACTGTTCTTGGATGGTTGGGAGAAGTTGCTCTCAGAGGATGTGTTGGTACTATTCTTTATTCATGGCTGTGTTCTTAGGCAAAATTGTGAGTGAGCCCACTCCCTTGGCTGAGAAGCAACCCCACACATGAATGGTCTCAGGATGCTTTACTGTTGGCATGACACAGGACTGATGGTAGCGCTCACCTTGTCTTCTCTGGACAAGGTGTTTTCCGGATGCCCCAAACAATCGGAAAGGGGATTCATCAGAGAAAATGACTTTACCCCAGTCCTCAGTAGTCCAATCCCTGTACCTTTTGCAGAATATCAGTCTGTCCCTGACGTTTTTCCTGGAAAGAAGGGGCTTCTTTGCTGCCCTTCTTGAACCAGGCCATCCTCCATAAGTCTTCGCCTCACTGTGCGTGCAGATGCACTCGCACCTGCCTGCTGCCATTCCTGAGCAAGCTCTGCACTGGTGGTGCCCCGATCCCGCAGCTGAATCAACTTTAGGAGACGGTCCTGACGCTTGCTGGACTTTCTTGGGCGCCCTGACGCCTTCTTCACAACAATTGAACCTCTCTCCTTGAAGTTCTTGATGATCCGATAAATGGTTGATTTAGGTGCAATCTTACTAGCAGCAATATCCTTGCCTGTGAAGCCCTTTTTGTGCAAAGCAATGATGACGGCACGTGTTTCTTACTAAATCAGCATGACAGAGTGATCTCCAGCCTTGTCCTCGTCAACACTCTCACCCGTGTTAACGAGAGAATCACTGACATGATGTCAGCTGGTCCTTTTGTGGCAGGGCTGAAATACAGTGGAAATGTTTTTGGGGGATTAAGTTAATTTTCATGGCAAAGAGGGACTTTGCAATTCATTGCAATTCATCTGATCCCTCTTCATGACATTCTGGAGTATATGCAAATTGCCATCATCAAAACTGAGGCAGCAGACTTAGTGAAAATTAGTATCTGTGTCATTCTCAAAACTTTTGACCACGACTGTATGTCTACTGTTCAAAAATTAACACCATGAGTCTCCTAGTCTCAACTATAGAGTCAGTCTGTCAGGAGACTTGTGACTACGCTGTGATCTGCGCAGTATTCCTGGTGTCCCACTAGGGTCTGAGGGCATAGGAGTGGGTCAGGTGTTTGTAAGAGACAGTCCATCACCCTCTCCTGGAGCCACTGAATGCCCCTGTTCCTCCGAGACTGTTCCCTGTGGTGTTTCAACTTCTGCACTACGACCCACAGCTGTTTTGCCGGAATACATTTAGACGCAGCCCTTCATCAGAGAGTCTCTTTAACGCCTGGTCCAGATTGCGGAGGTGCTCCTCCTCCGTCTCCCCTGTAACCAGGATGTCGTCCAGGTACATTGCTACATGAGGGATCCCCTGCAACAGATTGTCCATTGTCCTCTGGAAAATGGCCAGACTGGACGCCAACCTGAAAACCAAGCGGTTGTATTTGAACAAGCCTTTGTGAGTATTGACTGTAACATACTCTTTTGAATCCTCGTCCAGGAGGAGCTGTTGGTAGGCGTGGCTCATGTCCAGCTTTGAAAATGTTGTTGATGGTGAGTTTGTAGCCCCCGCATATACGCACCGTGCCGTCACTCTTCAGAACGGGAATTATTGGAGCTGCCCAGCAAGAGAACTGAATGGGCGTAATGATGTTTGTTTCTTGCATCCGCTCCAACTCATCCTCCACTTTCTTTTTCATGGCATATGGCACTGTCCTGGGCTTGAAAAAACAAGGCTCTGCTTGAGGATCCACAAACAGCTTAACTGCAGTACACTGCAGCGTGCCCAATTCATCTCTGAAAACCTTCAGGGTACTTTTGAATGACATCCACAGTCACTTGTGTGTGTTTTATCTCACCCCAGTTCAGTTGTATTTTGTTGAGTCAGTCACGCCCTAGTAAACTAGGCCCATTCCCTTTCACCACCAGGAGCCGTGCTCTCGCTTCCTGGCTTCCTGGCTGAAATGTCCACCTCTAGAGCCCCCAGCAATGGTATGGTCTCTCCAGTGTACGTACGCAGTCTGATCCCTGCCGATGTGATGGCAGGAGCCTGTTTTGAGTCCCAGGTCTTTCTGTAGGTCTCCTCACTGATGACAGATGCAGAGGCCCCTGTTTCAACCTCCATCCTCAACTCTTTTCCATCTACCTCCACTGTAGCATATAATGGCTCCTCGCACTGCTCACTCACATTAAAAATGTTGTAGGAACAATCCTCTTCCTCTTCTTCTGTGCTCTCTAGGTGGTGCGCTGCTGGCTGCGGCTTCTTTGATTTGAACTTGCCCCTCCGAGTCTGCCCACCCTCTGGCTTGCTCTAAGCAACCCTGCACTTTTAGGCTAAATGCCCCTTTTTGTTGCAATTGTGACAGACGTTGTCCTTGAACTTACAGTTGTTTGCATAATGTGTTCCCCCACATCTAAAACATTCCACTGCTTTTCCCTTTTTTCCTGCTGCCTCTTTTGTCACCTGATGCACTGCACAACTTCCACTGTTGGCCTTTTGAATATCTATAGCATTGCTAGCTGCCATCTCCATCCCTTGAGATATGTCCGATGCTCTCTTCAAAGTCAGTGTGGCTTCCCCCAGCAAACAGCGCTGTATGCTGTCCTCATTAATGCCACAGACTAATCTGTCACGGAGCATGTCCGCTAACACAGTCCCAAACTCACAATGTTCAGAGAGTTGATGAACAGACTGACCTGTTTTCCGAAAATGGCAATTAAACTTGAACCTCTGGACGATCACTGAATGCTTTGGATTGTGGTGAGTCTGAAGGAGAGCAACTAGATCAACAAAAGGAACTTGTCCCGTCCTCTGTGGTGTAGCTGTCCTCCCTGGTGTAGCCAAATTTCTCATTAGCTTGTAAGTTTTAGCCCCACACACACTCAAGAGAATAGAGCGCTGTTTAGTCTCCTCTGTAATTCCATTTGCCAAGAAAAAGTGTCCCACCCTTTCCACATATTCTGTCCAGTTCTTGTTCTCTTCCAAAAACGAATTGATAGTCCCAAACATTGCCATTGTAACTGTCACGATCGTCGGTAAGAGAGGAGGACCAAGGCGCAGCGTTGAATGCGAACATATTTATTATAGTGATACACGATCAAAACAACAACAAACGATAACGTGACAGTCAACGGTCTAACACAAACCAACTAGAACAAGATCCCACAACTATTGTGGGAAAACAGCCTGTTTAAATGTGGTTCCCAATCAGAGACAACCAGCCACAGCTGACACTCGTTGCCTCTGATTGAGAACCACACTGGCAACATAGAAAAGAAACAACTAGACCTACAACACAGAAATCTACACACCCTGGCTCAACATAACAGTGTCCCCAGAGCCAGGGCGTGACAGTACCCCCCCCTAAAGGCGCGGACTCCGACCGCGCCAACCAAATACCACAGGGGAGGGACCGGGTGGGCACTCCGCCTAGGCGGTGGATCCGGCTCCGGACCTGATCCCCGCTCCCTCTCCAACCCCCCAAAGTACCCCTGGTCCGGTCTGGCCCCGCTGGCCGGAGCTGGACTGCACATTGGTGGAGCGGATTGCTCTAGCTCCGGCGTGAAGCATCTGACCGGTGCCGGACCAGGCACCGGTGGGAACAGGCACGGGACGTGCCGGACTGACGACGCACACCACTGGCTTGGTGTGGGGAACAGGCACGGGCCGTGCCGGGCTGACGACGCACACCACTGGCTTGGTGTAGGGAACAGGCACGGGGCCGTGCCGGGCTGACGACGCACACCACTGGCTTGGTGTGGGGAGCAGGAGCGGGCCGGACCGGGCTGGCGATGCGCATCACTGGCTTGGTGTGGGGAACAGGCACGGGCCGTGCCGGGCTGACGACGCACACCACTGGCTTAGTGTGGGGAGCAGGAGCGGGCCGGACCGGGCTGGCGATGCGCACCATTGGCTTGGTGCAGGGTGCAGGAGCAGGCCGGGCCGGGCTTACTTTAAAAAAATGAAAAATAACTATTTTAAACAACATCAACTGTGAACTTATTTGGGCGTGTGTGTGTTAAAGAGACAGACAGGGAGGGACAAAGAGAGAGAGAGGCTACATTACTTGTACTGAAACTGTTCTCTTCTCTCTTTCAATGCAGCAAAGCGGGTCAATGACTTTCTCATTGAAATCAGGCATGCTGAGGACTAGTTCCCTCTCCATGGAAAGCATGGCCAGTGCATTCAGACGTTCCTGGCCCATTGAATTTCGCAGGAATGTCTTAACTCGTGTCAAAGTTGAGAAACATCTCTCAGCTTCAGCTGTTGTCATGGGAGTAGTTATGAGGATGTTCAACAGAGTCACAGTCTCAGAGAACGTCTCCTGGAGGTTGTAGCTCATGAGAACCTAGTACAGTGCCAGTGCACCACAGTTTGACTTTCTCGTCGTCGGCAAAAAGACCGTTCAGTCTCTCCAAAAGCACACTGGCGATTGAGACTGAGGTTGATTCCGAGATGGGAAGGAACTCAAAAAAGCGCTCCTGCACTTTGTGGTTGCTATCTATGTACCTCAGCACAAGCACCAGCTGTGTCTGTGTAGAAACGTCCGTGGTCTCGTCAGCTTGGATAGCTACGAAGTTCGCCGACTTCACCTCCTCCACAATATGTTCCCTCATGACCGCTAGCATACACTCCAGTAGCTCGTTTTGAATGGTCTTTGATGTGAACTTCTTTCAAAGAGACAATCGAGTTGCACTGAAGGCTAGCCATCTTGATAGTAGTACGTGAATTGATTGTCACGATCGTCTGAAGAAGCGGACCAATACGCAGCGCGTGGAGTGAACATGATGACTTTATTTAATAAAGCAACCACGAAAAACAACAAATGACGATAGTGAAGTCCTCTGTAACACTGACAGAAACATGGAACAAAAACCCACACACCAAGGAAAAACCACACAGTTTAAATATGGCTCCCAATCAGAGATAACGAGCCGACAGCTGACACTCGTTACCTCCGATTGGGAGTCATATGACTAATCAAGCACAATACCCAAACATAGAAATGAACAACTAGAATACCCAACATAGAAATACACCCAAACAATGAAATGAAACAACCTGGCTCAAATAATCAAAGTCCATGGAGCCAGAGTATCACAGTACCCCCCCCCCTAAGGTGCGAACTCCGGGCGCACCAGCCTACAGTCTAGGGGAGGGTCTGGGTGGGCGTACTGTCCATGGTGGCGGCTCTGGCCAGGTCGTGGGTCCCCACCCCCACCTTAGTCACTATCGCTTTCCGTAGCCCCCTCCACCTGACCACCCCCCAATTAAAACCCCACTGGATTAAGGGGCGGCCACCGGACTAAGGGGCAGCACCGGACTAAGGGGCAGCACCGGACTAAGGGACAGTACCTGAACTAAGGGGGCATTACCGGACTGAATGGCGATCCTGGCTGGCTGGCTCTGGCGGATCTGGCTGGACAGGCTCTGGCGGGATCCTGGCTGGCGGAAGGCCTCTGGCTGATCCTGTCTGGCGGAAGGCTCTGGCTGATCCTGTCTGGCGGAAGGCTCTGGCTGATCCGTCTGGCGGAAGGCTCTGGCTGATCCTGTCTGGCGGAAGGCTCTGGCTGATCTGTCTGGCTGTCCTGTCTGCGGAAGGCTCTGGCTGCTCCTGTCTGGCGGAAGGCTTGGCTGCTCCTGTCTGGCGGAAGGCTCTGGCTGATCCTGTCTGGGCGAAGGCTCTGGCTGCTCCTGTCTGGCGGAGAGCTCTAGCGGCTCCGGTTCTGGCGGACGGCTCTGAAGGCTCATGGCAGACGGGCGGCTTTGCAGGCTCAGTACAGACGGGCAGTTCCTGCGGCGCTTGGCAGACGGACAGTTCAGACGGCGTTGGGCAGACGGGCAGTTTCAGACGGCGTTGGGCAGACGGGCAGGTTCAGACGGCGTTGGGCAGACGGACAGTTCGGCCCCGTGGGCAGACGGCAGACTCTGGCCGTCTGAGGCGCATCGTAGGCCTGGTGCGTGTGCCGGAACGGAGGTACCCGGGCTGAGGACACGCATCTCAGGGCTAGTGCGGGAGAAGCAACAGGGCATGCTGGACCACTGGGGACGCACCGTAGGCCTGATGCGTGGTGCCGGAACGGGAGGGTACCCCGGGCTGAGGACACGCAATCTCAGGGCTAGTGCGGGAAGCAGCAACAGGGCATGCTTGGCCCTGGGGACGCACCGTAGGCCTGATGCGTGGTGCGGAACTGGAGGGTACCGGGCTGAGGACACGCATCTCAGGGCTAGTGCGGGGAGAAGCAACAGGGGCATGCTGGACCCTGGGACGCACATAGGGCTAGTGCGGAGAGCCGGAACAGGGCATGCTGGACCCTGGGACTCACATTAAGCTAGTGCGGAGAGCAGCAACAGGACGCACAGGACTCGGGAGACACACAGGAGGTTGGGGGGGGGGGTAGGCACTGGGGGAAAAGGGTGGGACCGACCGTATCCCTGGGCGAGTGGCCCGGGAACAGGCCCGGGCCGGGTGGCGAAACGACCGTATCCCCCGGGGGAGGGCCGGAAAAAGGCCGGGTGGGCGGCGAAGCGCACCGATCCCTGGTCGAGTGGCCGGAACGGCCGGGCTGGGTGGGGAAGGACCATCCCTGGTGGAGTGGCGGAAAGGCCCGGGTGGGGGGGCGAACGCACGTATCCCCGGGGCGAGTGGGCCGGAAAAGGCCCGGGGCCGGGGTGGCAAAGCCACCGTTCCTTGGGGCGGGGGTCGTAACAGGCCGGGCCTTTCTGGGGCACACACCACTGGCTCTCCCCCGGGGAAAGGAAAGGGCCCGGACCCCATGGATTACCACCTCATCTCTCACGCCGTGCTCTACATCTCCTTTCCCCCCTTGGCCAGTGACCCCCCAACCTGGTTTCCTCTTGAATTTGCCCCTTCTGCCCCGTTACCCCCCGTCCAAGCCATGTGCCCCCCCAAAAAAATTTTGGGGTTTTCCCCCGTCCTTTCCCAAAGATGATGCCCGCGCGCCGGCTCCCCTCCGCCGGCCTTTATCTTCCCCCCAAAGGTCCTTGCCCCAGATGTCCCCCCAGGGCCACGATTTGCCCCCCTGGGCCACGCCAGCCTCCGATCCTTTACCAGGTGTTCCCCCCAAAGTAAGCTGTCTTTCTCCTGGAACCTTTCTTTGGTCCTTCATGGTGGGTTTTTTTTCACGATGCGAAGAAGCGGACCAAAACCAGCGCGTGGGGTGAACATGTGACTTTATTTAAAAAAGCAACCCCGAAAAAAAAAAGACGATAGGAAGTCCTCTGTAACACTGACAGAAAAATGGAACAAAAAAACCCCCACACCAAAAGGAAAACCACACAGTTTAAATA